TAACCGAATATGAATGGTTCTAGCTGTATAATTTTATCATTGCCTGACTACATTGCCACACGCAAGACATCAGTCCTCATTTATCAAGCTGGATACGAATGGGCTTACTTCTAAATCGTTTGTAGGAGTGTTTACACTAGAAATTTTGTATTCATGATCATCATGTAATTTTCGAAAAAAAAACATTCGTATCATACCAGTGCTCCTGAATGTGCGCGTAAATGTATACATAAAAAGAATAATTCATGTCAAGCTCAGTTAATGGCTGTTGAACATGGTGTTAATGGTGCTGGCTGTTTAAATACATTTGCTTGGTGGTCTGGGAAAACCCTGTCTAATGTTATTGTGACCTGAATTCTTGCAAACTCTGGATAAAAAATCTGGGTTTTTCTGTCTATAAAAACAACTTTGATCCCTCCAATAGGTTGAGGAAATTATAAATACTGTGTATTTCATCAAAACAATGCAAAAATGTTTTTATTTACTTTTTAATTTAAAAGATTGTGTTGGGTAAGGAGCCAGTTTAACAAGCGCGGTGGTAAAAACAGTCGGTGTTCTTAAAGATGTCTAATGGTGCGTTCAAGTCATGCCGGAAAGATGACCACCACATGAACACGAACACCACCACAATGTAGTAATTACGAGTGGGGAAACTCTAGAGTTAAAGTTTCCGAGTCGGGGGCCTGTCAGTAAGGAAACATGGTGGAATCAACAGAAGCGAAATCTGTAGTCTGTGGTTGAAGGTAAATTTGCTGAAATTGAATGTTTACTCGTCTCAGAAGCTGATTTCAGTTATGTTTATTATTATTATGAATTCTATTAAGCTAATTGTCTGCACAATATAATATAGCATTGTACAATTACTGTATAATATGTAACGGTAAAGTTGACAGCAGCATCATGAATGAAACGCACTAAAAGAGCAAAACAAACCATTCTTTGTTCTTCAATTTCTAGAAGTTGAGTTAAAAAACATTTGCTGTTTTTTTTCCCCGTAGTTAATTGAGAAAGTGCGCTCCGACTCGAGTCGAGAGTGACTTGAACGTGCCTGACGTTGTAATTACAACTTCCCAAATTGTAAAAGACTGTGTTGGAACAATTCAGAACTTCCCCAGAGGACTTGAATGCGTAGTGAAACCTCGGTGAGATTTCCTCACACAGGGACTGGGAAGACTTGGCAGGCTGTTATAATGCTAGTTATAAGACGTAACCCTAATCAGTTCTGTTAGTAATCAGATGGCGGCTGTCAAAATGTCGGCAGTCGGGATGAAATCTTCAAACGTTAGTTTCTTACTTGTCACTTCTCTGTGTACGTAGACTTTGAAATGCTAGAATGTTACTTGTGGTTCCGACGCATGCGAAAGACGAACACTATTGTATGAAATGTCAAAATTTAACAAAGCGATTGCGTTTTCCCAGACCGCCACACGATTACGCTTTTTTTTTTCTCAGCAGCCATCTTTTAACTGAAAATCGCGTGATTTTATATATTGTTTCGTAATTGAGTGGCTGCGTAACTGATTCCTGAAAAATGCTTTCGAAATTAACCAGTGTTGCAATGTAGGAATTTGGATTCACAAGGACAAACGTAACATGCCACAACAAATGGATCAGCCCTGCTGAGGATTTACAAAGCTGCTTAAATGAGGAATTCAGTCCGTTCAGACTAAGCAGATTTAAAGTTCTTATGCTACACATGCAAGTGTACAGGTTTAGTTAAGTGAACCTTATTGTGTTAATAAGATCTAAGCGGGCTGTTTGCTAGTTTAATCCAGTGTTCCCAAATACACTCAGAAGTGTGTGAAGGAATGAACACAAGACTCATGGTCAGTGATGTCAATGTGAGTGCCATTTTAAGAGACTGAAATGTCCACTAACTGAAAACGGCCCAGTCAGTCACCTGACTTGAATCCAATTGAATGAGATTTAAAGACAGTATGTTTAGAAGAACGGGCCAAAATCACACCTGCATACCACCTGAGGACCATTAATTTCTTCATACAGGAAGTGTCTTGAACCTGTCATTACAAACAATGGCTTCTCCACTAAGTATTAAATACATTTCACTTAGCGTGTTCAATACTTTTTTCCCGTGTCCATTCCACTTTATTACACTTAACTTCATTTATGAACTTTAATGTTTGGAATTCTTTATATATGTAGATTTCTTGAGTTAATACAAAAGTCTGGTTAAAATTTCACGTGAATAACTTTATTGGAAATATATTTACTGAACATCATAACATGTTGGCACACCCATTACTTATTTCCCGACTGTTTTTATATTATATATATATATATATATATATATATATATATATATATGATCTTCACCGATGCCAACAACTCCGTAAGACCTGCGTGTAAGCAGTATATTGGTGATCATCATGACGTGTCAGTTAGTCAATGCAGTGATTGCTTTGTATGACCTATAACACTGTATAACTAACTTGCTGCCTAGCCAGCAAGTGTTCATAGTGTGTTCTTTTTACACACGCACACACAAACTTTTCATTCTTTACTTGCTGTCTTGAGCACACAAAGCAGTCAGAATGCCCTACAGAAACGCTAGTGGAATACTGAACACTGACAAATACCTCTAAATAAAAAGCATTCATTGCCCTTATTCAGCCTTTGCATTCACAGAGGAACAGTGAACTCTCTCTCTCACTCATATACACACACACACACACACACACACACACACGGATCAGGGCACAAGTGTCCCAAGAATGCGTGTGAAACATAAATACGAGTTAGTTCGGTACTGTATGTGGACAAGAAAAGCACATTGAAGTTAAACTGCTACACATAGTGACACGTGACACAGTGCCTTGCAGTATATTGGCATTAAATTGACATTTGAAAAATGATTTATCAAACCAGAACCACGATATATTGAAACATCCAGTGTCTGAGATGAGTCAGAATATTGAAGTTATGAAATCAGTTACAAACGCTGAACCTGAGTAGATTTAATTCTTCTATTACAGCAGTGTAAAAAAACCAAAAAAACAAAACCAATGTCAGTAGATGTGATGGAGTGAATACAGCCTCGACTGGAATCAGTGATTAGACTTTATCAGGGTTCAGCCATGATTTATCAACATGGACCTGGCCGGTGCTGTGTGTCTGAACAGATGATGTCATATCCTGTGACTCACATGTAATTCAGTAATAGCTTTTATCTCCTGGCCAGATTACACGTAATAAAATCACCTTTATATAGGTGTACTGTATAACGCTTCATGACTCATTATATCAAATGTAAGGCGTGTACAATAATTCTATCGTATACAAATTTATAAAACGCTCTCTTTACACATGCGACGTTTCGTTCTGAATACAAATTCAAAGCTAAACGTTTATAAGTGGATTAATAATGGGATTCTGTGGTTACAGACCGGTGGTATTTGGAGGCTGGCTGAGATCCTGCGCACCCTGAGTCCGTTTAGTCAGAGCGACGCCCCCCTGCGGCTGGAGCAGCAGCTGGTAAGGGGACCTGGTGATTTTTGTTTCGGCTTCGCACGCACTCGTATTGTCTCACGACTACAAAAAAAAGGAAGAAATAAAAAGGCTCTAGTTCTGAGCAGCTATTGTGAGTCTACTGCAGTTAATTAATAGCCCAATAAGCTCCTTAAAGTAGCAAAGGATGATTCTACACTTTTTTTTTTCTTCTTTTTTAACTCATGTAGTTTTATTCCCAGGCTGTTCTTTAGTCTTTTGAGTTTTGACACAAACTATTTGTGGCACTTTACTAAAAATGGCCATTGCGCTGCAGCAGACTGAGCTGATTGCGACAGACGTTTAATCTGTTGCTGTACTGCCTTTGTTTTTGAGGATGTTGGTACATTCTGACACTGTGCGTGTTGTGTTCTGGCAGGACGCTGCGTTCCGACAGTACTCCCTGCGCTGTGTGCTGTCTCAGGACGTGCTGTTGCAGGAGGACGTGGAGCTTATTGAGCTGTTAGACCCCAGTGCTCTCTCTCTGGGCTCCACAAATACTCCCTGCCCGAGCGCCACCTCAGCCCTGCCTGCACCCCGCTACCTCTCCACTCCATCGATATGGTATACACACACACACACACTGCCTGAACTGTCTCGGGGAAATTCTGTAAGCTTCTTATATCTTTGTGTCCGTGTGTGTTTTCTCACAGGGACGTCTCTGTACTGGTCGGACTGTTGGCCATCCTGCTGGCGGTTTCGTGTTCTTGTCCTGAAGATGGGCGGGGCCCGCTATGGCTGTGTGTGTGTGCGCTGTGTGTCTTGTGTGCACGTCACGGCATTCATCTGTGGCACAAGGCGGCAGTACAGCAGCAGGTTCAGGCTCAAGCCGTCCAGCTGGAGAGTTTAGTGATCAACAGCCGAGCTCTCACCAGCCTGGCACGCAAATCGCTCCGTCTCATCCAGGAGACCGAAGTCATCTCGCGGGGATTCACCCTGTAGGTGTCCCCGCACTCCTTCCACCACACACGCACACACCAGTTCAGGACATTGGATTATACAGACGTGATGAGACATTTTTAAACCTAACCCTAAATCTAACTGTAACCCTAACCTCAGGAGCCACAAAGCAATGAGTTTACCTGTTCATTTTTTTTTTGGAGCATACAGCTTTTACATTTTTAACATTTAGTTAGGATATCCCTTTTTGCAGGCTTTTCTAGATAGTCTGGTCAGCTTGGTCCTGAAAATTCACAAAAACAAACACTGTGTATCATCTTATGTCCATCATGTATCATCTTATGTCCTGTTGCTGTTAACTTTTTTTGCCGTCTGAGTTTGTGAAACGGTTGCTCTTTCTATTAGCTGCATAATTTAATTATTTGGCATAATTTTAATATTCGACATATAACATAGAGGTTACATTAGGGGACATGTTTTATTGGTGTGTGTGTGTGTTTGGAAAAAGTGCAAAAAGTGTTCACTGTCTTTTCCAGTTTATTGGTTGTCATATACCCTGTAGATAATTATTTTATCAGATAAACCCAATATACAGGGCGCACAGTGGTTTAGTGGTTAGCACGTTCGTCTCACAACTCCAGGGTCCGGGGTTCGATACCTGCCGGGCCGTGTGTGCGGAGTTTGCATGGTCTCCCCGTGCTGTGGGGGTTTCCTCCGGGTCCTCTGGTTTCCTCCCCCAGTCCAAAGACATGCATGGTAGGCTGATTGGTGTGTCCGTAGTGCATGAATGGGTGTGTGAGTGTGTATGTGATTGTGCCCTGCAATGGACTGGCACCCTGTGTGTACCCTGCCTTGTGCCCTAGTTTCCCCCGTGTCCCTGAAAAGGAGTAAGTGGTAGAAGATGGATGGATGAAACCCAATATACATTCGCGTATGTGTATGTATACGTGTGTATGTGTACGTATGTATATCATGTTTGTCAGCTGTTTTATACCGCATCCATCAGTGGAAACAGAACATCCCAGAACTTTTATTTGCCCTGTTGATATACACTATATGGCCAAAAGCTTGTGGACACCTGACCTTCACACTCATGTGCTTATTCAACATCCCATTCCAGATTTAGTCCCTTTTGCTCTTAATATTACCTCCAATCTTCTGCAAAGGCTTTCCACTAGAATTTTGTTGGGATTTGTGTCCACGCATCCACAGCAGCATTAGTGAGATCAGGTACTGATGTTAGGTGAGGAGGTCTGGGGTGCAGTCGGTGTTCCAGTTCATCCCAAAGGTGTTCAGTGGGGTTGAGGTCAGGGCTCTTTGCAGGAAACTCGAGTTCTTTCACTCCAGCGTTAGCAAACCATGTCTTCCTGGAGCTCGTTTTGTGCACAGGAGCATTGTCATGCTGGGACAGGTTTGGTCCTCTTAGTTCCAGTGAAGGATGATTGTAATGCTACAGTATACAGAGACATTCTATACAATTGTGGTGTTCTAACATTCTGGCAGCAGTTTGTAGAAGAACCGGTATGGGTGTGGTGATCAGGTGTCCACATATTTTTGGCCTCGTAGGGAGTTATTGTGTGTCATGCAAATAATATAAACATATTCCTCTGTGATGGTCCTGCGTTGTCCCCTTTCTGAAATCTGTCCAAGACTTTCTTGGAGCGACAGCCTGTTGTTGTGGTCATTAACATGCTGCTCAGAAAAATCGAATTCCACTAATTATCATAGACAATTTGACGATGCTGAAACAATTCGAACAGCGTCGTCGTCTGTTCTCCCAATGTTTATAATTGCAGGATACTAGACTACGTTTGTTTCCCAAATCTGTTTGCAAATGGAACAGGGCCAAGAAAGCAGAAACAGCAAGCATTTAAATACTTGTTAAAAAGTTAGCTGTGGTATTTAAACATTTTGCACATGTATTAGAATTCCTAATATATTAAGTGACTGTTATTGGCCACTTCCCAGACACGACCCCAGTGATCCATTAAATCCAGACCCTCTTTAACCTAATCAAGTCGCTCGCCTTTGTTCTTTAAATAGTAACCGATTCTGATTGGAGCTCTGGATCAAAAAGCTCAAGAGGAAATCCTAACATTGTTGTTTGATTTGTCGTGTTCATATATTTCCATGCTTTGCGGAGTTCATTAACGGTTGTCACGTGGCGTGTGTTTGTGGTTGTCTGTGTGTTTTGTTGCATGGCTGTTTGTGTTGTGAGTGTGTGATGGATGCTACTATCCTTTACTGCCCATTTTGTCGTGTGTGTGTGCTGGTCTGTCTAAAAGTGTCTGTGATGCAATGAAATTTTCCCCAATGGATGTCCGTGTGTCATTTTATAGTTTCTATGATACTATATTAATTGAATGAACAAGGCCAGTGGTTCTCAAAGTGGGGTTTGGGTTCCCCCAGGCATCCCATGATTTTTTAAAAATTGTTTTGTAACAGTGCTGGAAATCGCAACCCGCTGTGATGTTGTTATATTTATTAGGGTGATCTTAGAGTTGTTTGAATGGTTACTTGGAATGAATTGGTTTAATCCAGATATCAATAATGCGAAAAAAAAAAACTTAAAAAAAAACCTATACATAATATCAACATGGATGTAATGTGTTCTGAAATATTCAGGAATTTAAAACGATGTGGAACTAATAAATAACCAAAATATTATTGTACACAGCCCGATATTTTTAATAGCTGGATTATGTTCATAAAATACATCTGTACTAAGAGGGTCTGTAGAATTTATTTTGCAGTTAAAAGTTTGAGAACACCTGAACTAGACCATTGAATATGGCGTGGGTGTTTGTATGTATGATGCATGTGTGTTATTTGACTATAGTGTGTGTGTGTGTGTGTGTGGGGTGTGATGATTGATTGATTGATTTGGGTAGTGTATGTAAATGTATGTTTGCCCTGATGGTTCTCGGACGTCTGCACAGTTGGATCACATTTCACTTTTCAAGTTTACTCGACAGGGTGAGTGCGGCCTGTCCCTTTAACAGGGTGGGGCATCTACGCAGCCAGCAGTTGATTGGTTTGAGGAAAGCAGCATACCAGAGCCTCCGCTGCGCGTTCCGTGCCTCCCGCATCGCCACCTGCATCATGCTTAAATCATATCCTCCTCGAACCACAACAGCGTTAATCTTAGTGTGCCCTAATATTCGTTTTTTTTTCCCTCTGCAGTAATAAATGGCACAATTTGATGTTTAGTCTGACTTTTAGTATTGAATTGAATCCTTAACATCGTGTAACATTTCCACTCAACTCCGAGATCGACAACGTCACCAACTACGTGTCGACCGTGCCAATCAGAGAGTTAGGCCTGGGCCTGGGGGCAGAGAATATCTCTGATGAGCAGGCACAGGAGCTGACCAATGACTACAGCTTACCCGCCCTCAAAGTGAGTAAAACAGAACGGTTTGCATATTCTCTCATGACTTGATTGATTTATATGGGAAGGACACTCTAAACGACATTGTGGTTAAACCTAGGGTTTCTGCCCAAGGTTTTCAGCTGTTATGATGGAAAGGTATGAAAGGCTTGCCTACGGGTGGCCTGGATGCCTGGTCCTTAATATAAAATGCCACTCTAGGTGGGTTTTATTTAGAGCTGTGCCGCTCAAGAAAGCCTGCATTGCTGCCAACTAGGCATTACCGTGGCCCTTCTCCAGGTGCTAGAGGTTAACATCATGCCTCCCAGTGGCGTGAGTGTGGTGGTCAACTCTGAACACCTTTCCAGTCAGATCCTCATGACTTTGTGGCATAACTTATCCAGGTGATTCTCACTGCCCTTGGAGGTTAGGAGCAGTGACGGAGAATCCTAGTTACATATGTAACTCGTGGTGCTGTGAGCTCTAGATCACTTCCAGGATTCCTTGTTAATCTGAACCAGCACTGACTCGGTGGTTCCAGTGTTCATTAAAGGATATACAGGGAACAGTATATATATTGTGGTCTTGGCTTGCATGTGCACACGCACAAGGTGTCCAGTTGATTTTAGCTGTCCAGATATCCAGGCTATATAGAACCACTCTGATTTTTGGATGCTAACTGTATAATCACAGCTTGAATAACTTCACTAAAAAGAAATGTTTTAGGCATGTTTTCAGATTTGTGTAAAGCGGTGGTGGTGTTTTTAATCGCGCATCTCTTTCTCAGTTGCTCTTTCAATTGTGGGTGGGCCAGAGCTCGGAGTTTTTCCGCCGATTGGCTCTGATGCTGTCCTCTGGGAGGGCGGAGCAAGAGTCCAAACCTCGCCTTCTCGCGTACAACAGTGTGGCTACGGTCACTGCCTCCCTTCATCCCTCCCTGGCCTGTTGCCTTGGTGACCTGCAGCGCAGCTATGAATTCCATCGATACTTTGAGATGCAGCAGCAGTCGCAGAATTCGGGCCGAGCAAGTCAGGCGCGACAGAAATGCAGAGAGCTCAACTCGCTGCACACATCCATCCGCAGCCTTCAGCTCCACCTCAGAGCCCTGCTCAGCGAGTACGAGCAAACTCTCTCTCTCTCTCTCTCTCTTACACACACACACACACACACACACACGACTGTTTTCTGAAAACTTTACTTTTACCAAGTAAAGGAAATGATCACAGCTATACTATAAATTTAGCTGCTCTTTGTTCAGATTGGATGTCATGGTCATTCGTTCGCTGTCTTTCTCCCGCTCCAGGATGATCATTCTGGAAGACGAGCTGGAGAAGCTGATGGTTGCTAAGGAGTCAGAGGAGGTGACATGTGCAGGTTACCAGGAGCTCCGTGAGCGCCTGCACCTCCTGCAGCCTCACATGCAGGCTTGCTCCTGCTGCTGGGAGGACATGACCACTCAGGTGGAACGCATGCTGCGCAGGGTCACCCACTGCCCAGGTCAGAGGTCAAACTCTCAGCCCCAGACTCAAAACGGTGGTTCTAAACTTTTGTACATTCTCACCTTTCTCATTTAGGACATAAACTATGCAAGGACCGAATCCAAAGTTGGAGGCTTCAAAGAAAGTTACGCTTATTCAGTAATAGATTATGCACCTAAATCAGTGTCATTAAATCAGAATGTGTGTGGACGTAGTCTGTTTTTATTGTGGACTAAATTCACTATTTTGAGTCACTTGCCCATGGTGTCAAGGATAAGCCGACTAGGCACTCGTCTGCTACACATACCGCTCACTTTAAATTCATTCTTAACTTCGTCCATAAAACGGCTGTCCTTGAAATGATAAAATGTCTCTAATGAAGAAGTCTCTGAAGTCCTCCTCTGAAAGTTAAAAGGGACCATACTATTAGTTAATTAATACCGTCATAATTCTGTATTAAATATTTAAATATCACATGGCATTTCATGCCAAAACATACATTTTAGCATGAAATGATGTACTCGCTGGAGTTAAGACGGCTTCTCGAGCAGAGATAATGTGCTTAAGTTCAAGTTCCGATTCTCGCATAACTGAGACTCCCATGTGCGTAATCCTTGCATAATCTTCTGAATCGCACTCACTGCCATCATTACTGTGGTCTGAATACTAGTGTGCGCAATTTCACTATTAAACAGTTGTTAAAAGGTTATAAGTGCATCAAGGGCAACACAATAGACATTTAATTAAATGTTACTATATATGTAATATTAAATGAAAATACTGGTCTTCTAATGGGAATAATATGGGAATATGCTCAAGTAACATTTAT